TAGAACAGTTGTATTTTCAAGTTTTCTTTTCGATGGTAATCACTAGGAAGAATCTAACAACAAATTTAAGTAGCTAAAAGAAATTTCTATCAGCATATGTGAACCTAAAAACTCAAATAAAACTACTTAGTTAAGGACGTATGAAAACTCAAGATATCCTAAAACCATTTTTCTGGACGTTCTTTGAAGCTTTTTCAAAACGGTTTTAACCCACCGAGTAATAAGAGCTCTCTCAACTTTCTTCATGATGTTGCTTAATTGAATTGCATTTGATTTACGGAAGACCTAAATATATTCTGATGGAAAATTTCTATGATTTCAGTGTTTGATGCCCCTTAGAAATTGAATGGAGTTCGATGATGAGAGCCGAAATATCTCATATTGCTCTATTAAATAGAATCGTTTTCAGAAAGCTTCAAATAGATGCCAGAAAATTTATTTTGATGATCTTCGTTTTCTAAGCATCCCAATCCGAACAGTTTTATTAGAGTTTTTAGATACAGCAATCCTGATAGAATATCTTGTCAGCTACTAAAATGTTTGTTCACATTTTTTTATAGCTATTACAATCAAGAAAAAAATTCAAAAATACAAATTTTCTAAATTTATGTTCATTGCTATATTTTTCTAGCTGCTTGTCAAGTGTAATAATTCATTGCTGTACATGAAACCATAAAATTCTGAAATATCGGAAAAAATGAAATTTTTTTTTTTTGTATTCTCTCGCATTTTATCCAAAATAAACTTTTGAAGAGAAAAATTGAAATTTTCTATCTAAAATTCTAACCGATCGAGCTGAAACTATTTTTGCATGGCTAATTCGATTAAATCGGAACCTAGCATATTTTTTATTTCGAAAGGGATATTGTATGAGTAAATATTCATTGATTTGACAAAATTTGCATCAATCGAAAAATACACAAAAAAATCAAGCTTTTTCCTAGATGTTCTCGAATAAATTTTGCAGCAATACTGAAAGGAAATTTTCAGGTCATTTTGAGCTGTTGTATCCTTTATATCATATAGAAGAAAGAGTTTCGAGAAGTTCGAATCTAGGACAATGTTCCTCTACTTGTCGAGATCTGTTTGCTTCGAAAACTTCACAACTTTTTATCGAACCATAAAGAATTGCTCTTAAAAATTAATAAAGAAAAAATGATGGTTTTATTTTCAGCTGATGATGAAGAACAAACATACAGAAATTCACATTCCAGCCAAAAAGTAAATATATGTTTTTTTACGTTTCAACAAATTTCAAATGAATGATCATTTTATTCTAGTCTGTACAAGCAACACTTTCTACTCGACAAGGAGTTGAAACAGGCAATAAAAAAACAATCAAATTAGTTAACTCACTTAAGGTTGAAAATAAATTCTTTTTCAAAATCCTTGGATTGACTGCAAAGTAGATTTTGTTTTGTTTTTCTTTTTTAGAAAAGCCTAGTGACCCGATATGACACACCTCCTACACATAGCTTTATTCGTCGCAAATTAGCAATTTTATCATTTAAGGTAAAGAATCCACATTCGATTGAAGTTGGTGATACTTATATTGATCAAACAATTGATCAAAAAATACGTTTTTTAAAACAAAATGATAAACAAACGAATGTTCCTCATACAGATGATGTTTATATGGAATGTTTAATACGATCGAGTTTTAATGAAAATGAAGCACTTAAAATGTTACACCATAATCGACCAAATTTAGTAAATTTTATTTCAACAAATCTAAGGTTTTTTTTCTGAAAAACTATTGTTTAGGTACAACCTACTGTGCAACCTGTTTCGAACCAATCAGCTAAGGTTTCAATAGATAATTCTGTGCAGCGTTTAAAACAGCATTGGAATTTATTAAATGAATATAAGAATGAAAATAATTTAGCTCAACAATTATTACGCGAAAATGATGTATGTAATAGTTTTTGTTAGGCTTGGTCTTTTGATTAGCTAGTCTTTCATCACTTATTTTGAAATAGTACCATATACATCTATAGATTATTGATTAGAACAAGAAAAGATATTCAATCTAGATCTAGTAAGTCATCATGACTCAGTGACTACATTGTTCGATACGTATACACAAAGTAACATGTGCAAACCTGAGTACCATTATCCATGAATGATCTCGAACAAATTACTAACAGACATCTATCTCGGGTTATCTGTTCGATAGCATGCTGAATATGTTGAGATATACACGTGCTCTTGTGACTAGTTAATGTGTATACGAAGCTCAAGAACTCTCCTTTATATCGGTATTCTGTCCAGAACTATAGATAGTCACAATTGTAGGGAAGACAAGATATCGGACTACTGAATCTGCCATTCGGCAGCACTCCATATTGGAAGATAGCAGAAAGACGAACGGGGTATTCTTCCTCATCTAAGATCTAGTCACAATAGGTTTTCGTTTAATTCTAATAAATATACAAAAATCTTACTATACTTGAGTATTCTGTAACGCTATTTCTAGAAGACTGAATATTATTTGAATTTCTTGTTTCTATAATCATTTTTTGTTTTTGCTTAGCAATGGAGAAATGTTCAGCATCTCATACCAGCTATTCGACAACTTCGACTGAAAAACAATGGTACAAGTACGGATGATGACTCTTTATCGGTACACTAAAAAAAAGAAGTTCTTTATATAAATCGTTTTTTAATTGATACTGTTTTTTTAGAAAATGTATCGTTTACTCTATAGTGAATTATCGAAGGTAATTGGTCGACAAGTACCTGTTAAAATTGAAACAATTGCATCAGTTCTATGCGAATTAGACATGGAACCTATTGAAAATCTTGATATAGCTGCCATAAAAAATATTTTATGCTCGAGCAATGATTCTGAATTCTCTGATAACTTTCGAACGAATGCAATTGCTTTATTATCAATGGCATGTCCACTATGCTTCACTTCATTTCCACGAAGTCAAATGGAAACAATGTTTTTATGTGATCATAAATGTTGCTCAGCTTGTGTTAAAAATTACTATCGGGCTACTATAAGTATAATTCAAGATTATAAATCATTAAATAAATTAACATGTTTTATGGAACAGCATGAAATAACAAATGACACCGAAATGAACTTCTTTACATATTTAGAAGCAAAAGTATGTTAAAATAATTATACATAAATATTGATATAGTATAAATTTCCTTCTAATTAGCTCAATCAATGGTTTCGTGATGAACCTAATATTCTTCAAATGTATCATGAAAAAATATTTTATGCGAAACGTGGTAAAGAAATTAAAAAATGTGGTAATTCACAAGTATGTTCTTCGATTTAATTTATTTTGTTTCATTCGTGTTGATATACTCTATTTCTTTTAGTGTGTCAGCTGTTTTTCTATTGATGACAATGATAATATTGATTGTGTTCGTTGTCCTCATTGTCAATTTGCTCAATGTAGACAATGTTGTCGAAAAGTGCGTTATGAACATTAAATTATCATTTTCAAAATGAATCAATATCTTTTTCTCTAGTGGCATCCTGATCATACCTCAATGTCATGTGATGCATATGCAGAATGGTTAATAGACAATGATCCTGACGATCCCAATGTACAAATTTTAAAATATTTAAGTAAAACTGGCATTGCATGTCCAAATCCGAATTGTCAATCGATTTATGAATAGTAAGTTGAATATTTAATAAAAAACAATTTATGTAATAGATTGTTTTATTTATAGTCGGGCAGGAGGCTGTGAACATTTCACCTGTACAAAATGTCACACAGAGTTTTGTCGCATGTGTTCAACATTGTTCTATTCTCCTAAGAAAGACCCAGTAAAATGAAACATATATATACGCATATAATTAGTTATAGAAATATTTTAATGTTTAGAAATGTCCACAAGCTAATTGTACACTCAAGGCTACCATTCATGCTCATTGTACTCCTAATTGTTTTCGTGAAACTCGTATTGGTGAAATAACTGCTATTACTAAGTTACTCAAAGTTCGTATTTTTATTTGATTATTCTTGATATTATATGGATCGCTGCCTTTTTCTAGGATCATAAAATTAATGTAACAGAAGAACTTCACAACAATCCAGTGTCAACTGATAATATATGCCCAGTAGAAGACTGCACAAACCCAACATCGTCCATCGCTGATAATCGATTTTGCGAGTTTGATATTTAGATTTATATACTTTTTTCGATTGTTGAAATTTATATTTAATAGAACCTGTTATAAACAATTCTTGTCCTCATTTGTTTGGCGTTATGAATTAGAACCTTGGTAAGTAAATTAAACATAGAATATCTATTGATAACTATGTTTTTTTTTAAGGGAAATATATGAAGATAATAATCTCCGACAAATGCTTATCAAAGCATCCGTTACTATACCAGAAAACACAACAAGACAAAAATTACTAGAGGTATATACATAAATGTGTAATTGTATTTTCTTTATCATTTTCTTTTAGTTGTCTCGACAAAATTTAAATAGATTGTTAGGCAAACCAAAAAAACTAACAAAACAAAAATTTTCATAACTGATTTATACCAATATAAACAACAACAGTTAATTCAAACAGATTAGAACTTTTTATTTTATGTTATTCCGTTTTTTAATCGTTTATTCATATATTGTGATAATTTGTATAGATATCCAATAATGATTGAGGTTTTTTCTATGAATAAATAATGTGATACAATTTTGATAGTTTTATTTTGTAAATTTTTAACACAAATTTACTTTAATTTTTTCATCTATCGATAAGAAAATGTTATGAAGAAGAAAAAAAACGAGAGATGATTTTATAATATAAAAATCTTGCAAAACTGATTTTCTTTCGGTTTGAATACTATGTTAAAATTAAATCATGATTGAAGTTTTTTGTGATAATCACTACTAAATATGATATACATAGATATTTCAAAAAGAAATTATTTCTAAAATTACATTTTAAAAGCTTTTTATTGTTATTTTTCTTTTCCGATATTTATTTGATTTTATAAGAAACTAAAAACTGCGACAAATGGCTACTGGATATGGTGATCCTACAAGTAGATATATCGGTTCATCGGCATTCGCCAAGAATGTTAGGGTAAGTTTTATTTATAGCAATATCTTTGTGAATGTAGAAGAATAAAGTAAACAAAAGGAGTGAGTATGAACACTTCTCAAAGGGAAAGTATGTATTGTATATATCAATGAGTACGAAAACTATTCAATAATGTTTATTTTCAAATTTTTTTGTGCTGTCGTAAGCGTTAGAAAGAACCCAAGTAATTATTCGAATAAAGACAATTGTTTACAAAAAGAAATAAAAATTATTTTTAGATTCTCAACGGCACGAACTTTAGAAAACCAAAAGGTTAGTTTTTCATAATCGAGAACAAGTAAATACTATTTTTTTTTTCAGACTATATAGAGCGATAGAGCAAAATCATTATCCACAAAATAAGATATCTTCGAGTTCTTTGCGACATAGTTTAACCGAGATGTAGGAGTCTTCCAAAATCTTCTAAAGTCGTTTTTTCTTCAATTTATTTATAAAAAAAACTATTTTTTGACTTCTAATTGAATTGTTGTATCTCAGCTGAAAAGTGTCGCAGAGAACTCGGAGATATCTTATCTTGTAAAGAACCGTTTGCCATATCTTTTTATGTATGTGAAACGAAATTATATTTACCTATTCTGAGTGGTAAAAACCTAACTTTTTGGTTTTTTGACGTTCCTGTCTTTTGGAATTCGATAATAATTTTTATTTCCTTTTGTAAACAATATTCTCTATTTTCAATCACTATTTCTATTCTTTTTAGCATTTACGGCAGTGGAAAAAAATTGGGCATAAATTTTGTTGAATAATTTTGATGTCCACTGTATATAATAAGATGATAACAATAGCAAAAGTCACAAACATATATGACAGGACAAGACTAATCCATCTATACGTACAGAAGACATATATACTTCATATTTGAGATCGATGGAATTTCTCCGAGAAATTTCTCCAAGAAACAACTTCTATTTTACTTGTACACATTTCATATACACTAATATGGGAACGAAGGAAGAACTCCTTCGTAACTTTTCATGTGATTAGTAATTCATATCAATTGATCTTGAACAATATCGAAGTTTTGTATTGTCTGACGTTTTTCAATAACGAGATGATACCTGGTCAGGAATTGATAAGTTTGATATTTTCTTCAGTGTGTTCTCCAGATTTTCTCTTTCGGAGAGGCATCACAACTTTTGGAGAAACGCCGCTCCTACGGTCCTCATGCTCGATACAATACCGCACAACTGAAAAGCTTTTCAATTCGTATAAGACTGATACTATCGATAAAAAAGACAAAGCGAGCTAGAATTTTGAGTTTTTATAGTAAACACCATATTTTTAGGCTTCTTAACATGTAGATATTTTCATGGTTACATGGAGCTAGTAGTTAGCATTTCTTTCACAGCAGAAGAAAATCTGTTCTAATATTCCGTAATGAAAGATAAACTGACAATTATGAGCTATTCAGAGTTTTTGATAGTCGATTAAAATTAACTCTAAAAAATGATTTCGAAATTTCGAGATAGAAAATCTGTAGTCTAGATCAAGCTTTACTTTTGATGACTTGCTAATTCTGCACGACTATAATAAATTCATCCAGCATGATTCGAGGTCCTTGTCATATAATGCAAAAGCATGAGCTCAATACTCAGAGCTGAAACTTTTCTGATAAATAGAAATTTTTCAATCAAAGATTTTCAGGCATACTAGCTTCAATATCTTACAAACTGATAAAAATACTTGCCGATCTGGTTTCCAGTATGGCACATGTACAAAAGAGAACAGGAAAAGAAGACCGATGCACGACGTATTTAAGTTGGTAGAAAAAAGATAATATGTGCTGTTTTCACACATGGCCAAAAAGTCCTGAACAAATATTAGTCGTAATCATCATTCGTCATCACCTTTAAGAAATTCTTATTGAGTAATTATTATGAAAAATATTTATATATGACCATAAAACAGGAATTCAATTCAAAGAAACACGGCTTAGAATTTCTCATTTTCCTTGTTGTTCTTTTCTCTATGGTTAATAAAGTCTAATAAAAATTCTTCATAGGATAAACAGCATTCAACTGATCCTGATGATATGACACTTAAAGTAGTTGATGAACTTAAGGTAATATTTGACATTACAAATCATTTTATCGTTAATATAATCGATTTTATTCATCTAGGATATTGTTCGAAAGAAAGTCAGACAAGGTTACGCAATAACTCAACCAATTGTTGAGTTAGAAGTTGCCAAGATCAGACATGACAATGACCCTAATCAACATGATATCGAAGAATTGAAGGCGCAACTTCCACGTAATCTTCAAAATTGTTCTGATAGTATTTTACGTGTATCAATGGCATATGGAAATGATCCAGAACAAATAAAACCCATAATACAATCGAAAATGAATAGCATAAATTCGAATGATAATATTGATAACATTTCACTCGATAATATTATAGAACCTTTAAAAATGCTCAAAAAAGATTTGGAAAGAAACCCTCTAAAAAATATATTCAATGCAGTTCGCAACATCAATGAACGCAATAGTGATGTAAGTTTCTTATTTCAAATTTTCATTCATACATATAATCTTTTAAAAGACTAAATTCAAGATGAATTCATTCTTTAGAACTTTATTTTTATAGTACGATAATATTTGTTGATTATTTTATTTATATTTTTCTTTTTTTTTGAATTAAACAGATGTAAATATTTTGTTTCTAGCGTGCCGATCGTTTATTTCTCAGTGAAGTTCTTCATTTCACACCTGCTATACGAGACTATAAATTTGACGATGCTCATCAAGCAGTAGAAGCTATTCGCACTACAACATATGAATCAGAAAGACCAGAAGATCTTCTTTCTATTGTCAAAACACTTCGAGAAACTGACGAAATTCGTCAAGCTCTAAACGATATGTCAAAAAAATCAATGAGACACGTGAGTTGAAAATAATTTTATATTTCTAGGTCGAACAATCAGACTGTGAAATCTTATAAATACACTAACGAGAGAAGCCTACTAACTGATTATTTTTTTTTTAATCGAGACTATTTACATCGTGTAGATTCTAATGAACTATGAATATCCTGAAAAGAGTTCACGTTTTTAACGTATTACGTATAACAGTTGACAATATCATGTTACATGGTCATAGAAGATTGCACTGTTGAATTTCACTATATATTCTCACTTTGTTAAAATAATTCACATGGTTTTAGAGCTTTGTTCAATGATAGTAACGGCAGCATCCAGTTCAAGTTTAACATACGATGAGTATGCATAGATAGCCATTATTGAAATTCATGGTACGTTAGTTCATGTCGGTGTACACTTATACCTACACCTTTGTACCTATAGTCTTAAACTCGTGCTCTTAAATCTATACTTCAATAGCTATTCCCTTGGATCTATACTAGTACACCTGCATTCTTTAACTCATATTCTCCTCGTCAGAACTGTTTTCTCCACTATTAAAACAGTTTTCGTTCTGTTTTCACCAGCACTATTGTATTTATATTCTCAATTCAACGCCTTTTATGACTGCTGTTCACAACAGAGTTTTGAACTGAAATTATGTCTATGAGTACGTTCAAGTGTCCTGAAAAGTTCAACGATAACAAGCATGCCTTTCTTAATATTCAATACCTAAAAACGTTACCGTTTACAATGAAACGACACAATAATCAAGTGTGCCAGGTAATTGTATATCGCGAGAAAGACATGTTCGGTTTCGTTGAAACTTTCAGAACTGTCAAATGTACCTTTAGACATAATTTTAACTTGAAACTCTTTGTTTTGGTTTTTCCCAAATTGTGTAACTCTCAGTAAAAAATTGATTAAAACGATCAAAACTTTTCAATAGTAATCTTAGTATCACCGAGATCTATGTGTAACTTTGATGCGAAGTCGAACGACGTCCAACAATTGAAAATGTTCCTTCTTTAGAAGATCTTACGTCTAATTTTTTGACCTAGATTACTAAAAATTATTTTTAGAAAGAACCATCAACAGCAACATCAAAATTGTCTGATGATGATGACCATCATTCAAGTGTCACTACTGGAATGTATGACCGAAATCGATTTAATGAGAATCAAAACCGATCGGTTCCTTACAGCTCTGTGCCCGGCTCTCATCAAAATTCTCCTTCGTATCCAAGTAAAAAGATTTACATGGTTTTTATTCAATAATACAAACTATTATATATTATTCCTATCATTTAGATCGTCCATCAAACAGAAATTTCGACAGATCGGCTGACAATCGAAATCAAGCTACTCATCATGGTTCTTTTCCTAACCTTCAAGAAGAATTTCTCTCACATCCAGGTAACAAGACCTAACTTCCGCCTCAACACTCACACAATAGCAGATCCTATTTCTTTTATTGTAAATTTCTATACATAAAGGATCGAATATCATGATTAGATTTTAGCTGGTTCACTATGATTACGTTTTGAATACAAATAAAAAGAACTACAATTAAATTTTACTTTCTCATATATTGATAATACACTGAGCTGTCTCATTATGTTGTTTAATAGGTGAGAGTTCTTAGCTTGCTTTCTCTTCTTTACTTTCGTAGATTTTATTTTCTACTAAACACAATTGAGTCATAATCCAAAGAAAGAAAAAGATTTAAATCAAGAGTTTTATGGAATTCGCACATATTTTCAAAGAAAATAGTGAATATAAGTTTTAAGTCGAAGATTTGAGACTCTGCACATTTTGAAAACCAACGCATCCTGTGTCCTTATTGTAGTGAATTTTCAATTATCAAATGTGTATTCGAACGGTACATCAAAGATCTAAAAAATTACATACGATTCAGATTTTTAGATTTTGTTAATCAGGAATCATAGATATTAGTGTGAAAATTCTCGATGGATTTTTCAAGGAATTGTTTGAAAAAGATCATATTTTTGCTTTTATCTTATGTGAAAAGAGGCCATTTTTTCTTTACAAATTTGATTAGAAAAAATTCAGAAAATATCTTAAAAGGCACCTTAATATATGATTCAACACGAACTCATCTTCTTTTTTCAATAGCGAAAATCGCACCGCTCTATCTTATTTCTATCAAAATTTATTCGAAAAATATCCACCCATCTTTTTTTTGTAAAATAGAAATTAGAACATTGCAAAGCATTCGTTGAAGTATTGATGGCTAGAATATGCCGATGAATGTTCTAAATGATGAAGTTTCTGAGTCTTACGCAGATAAACATTTTTATTCAAGATATCAAGGATCATAAGCAGTGCCGCACTCATTTGCCACAGTCGGCGTACGATCAACATAAAAAGTGTGTATTGATCAAGTTATAACTTTGAATAATAATCAATGTCAGTGTTTGTGAGCTGATCAAGATATATTATAGTATGTTGAGGAGTGATGTACAAGTCCAAATTTTATATTCCGATAAAGTTTCATTTTTGGTTCCGGGCTCCGTATGTTTCTGGTGTTGAGACCTGCTATAGATAAAATGGATACATACAACGGGGTTGTTTGCGCGTTAAATCAATGGTTAGAATAATAATCATATTAAATTAAGAAAAAAGAAATACGCAAATGAAAATCAACAAGGTAAACACAGGGGATTCGTCAATGAAAAGAGAAACATTTTCTGTTCACAAGACAAATCATTCGTATGGTGATCAATTATCTTTGGAAATCTGCTAGTCTGCTAGAGATTTATCACTCTTATATATTTGCATTAGTATAATGAGGCTACAAAGAACACAAGTGTGTTTCATATTTCAGTCGCAAATAGGTTGTGTTGACAAGTTTTTGTTTTACAAGACCCAGACTTTCTAATATGTGAAAGATTTCCATGCTTTTTATTCAATAATATTAACCAATATATATTATTTTTATTATTTAGATCGTCAATTGCACAAGTCTGCTGATCAATCAAGAGATAGATTCAATGACAGTAAATATCAAAATAAAATTTAATTTATCAACAACAATTTTTATATATATTTATTATTAGATTCCACACGTCGTGATAGCGGAAAAAAATAACTATTAATTTTTTTCTGATAGAAAGAGTCTTTTTTTTTTAAATTTAATTTTTCTTTTTTATTTCTTGTTTTTTTGAAAGTTCAAATCCTAAATATTAGTCACGATGTGATGGATTAAAGAATATTACAGCTACATGAAAAAATATAAAAGCAATTAATATCCATAATGAATACATAGAATACGAACAAAAAAATTGACTAACTATTGCTAATAAAATCAAAATGCTTCGATTATATTTTAAAAAAGTTAATTTTATAATTTGAATTCCTTGTACTTGTGATCGATTAAATCTAAATCGAAGATAGAATGTTAATATACAACAAATAGCTGAGAAAAATGATGGATCCGACATCATTGTATATAATGGATAAGGACCTTGCATTAAAATACTTCCTATATGAACAATAAAACCAGTTACATTAAGAATAACAAGAAGACCATGAAATAATAGTAATGTTGTTAAAACTTCTCGTAAACGTCCATTGATTGTTCCACGCCACATTATGTGTAATAAAGCTATTAAAAATAATGTTATATGACCTTGTGAACCACTAAATACTATTGTTGAAAATAGCGGTATTAATAACATAAACCCTTGAAATAAACGAACATATTTTAATTGTTGATTTAAATCATTGTGTACACAAATAAATAGTGGATATATTAAACTACGAATAAAATCTAATATTAAATAATCAATTATAAATGAAATTATAGCCCATAGACTTAGTGCAAGAAAATAAATAATTAATGGTAAAAAGAAAAAATAATAACCATTTGAATGAATATTCACAACAAAATCTAATGATGGAAATAAATTTATCATTACTTTATAAAGTATTGTTATACATATGGCTATTGGTATATGTATTTGCCATGCAAGCATTGTTTGATATGTACGAAGTGCAACATCATTCACTTGAAGTGAATATGATATACATAGAACAGTAAATAGAAATGTTGGTAATAAATATATATAATAACGTGTTAATTGAGCTAATATATCAAGAAATGAATAAGTTATTTGAAGATTATATGAAGAATTTGAATCAAGAAAAAGTTCAACTGAAGGATATTCATCAGTAGTTAATAGAGGTGGTCGATGTAGCTTTAAACGTATTTGACGATAAAGAGATTTTGAAAGAACTGTTGATGGAGATGAAGGATTACGTAATGTAATTAAATTATATAGATCTTCATTTGACCATGGAACATGAAAATGAATTAATGGCATTTGTTGACTATTTGATGATAAATAAATATTATAGACTTGCCAAAGATGAATAAGTGTTGGAAAAACAAGTTTTACGTAACCTGCTTTATGGAAAGATAATGTTTGTGAACCGAACCTTTCAAAAAGACAAAAAAAATAGAAATAGAAATGATTCATTGATAAATAAAACTTTCGAAAGTATATTATGAACTGTCTAATTTTTATTTCATTTTGTATTTTAAATATATTAATTAAGTATATTTCAATCGAATCGCCCTATACATCTTAAGAGTTACATTAGACTCGAAGTTTCTTTTTTACAATTTTACAATTGAAATATAGATTGCGAAGGAATTAACAATAATAGACATTCAATTTGAGGTCCCCGTAATGAACTGAAAAAGTTAGCTTAACTAAAACTGGAGAGACTTTTTGAAGACAAGTTGTACAATTCATTTTCAGAATATAAAATGTTCCAATGTTGTTTGAATAACTTTGGAAAGGAACATCAGAGAGATCTGCGGTTTTCACCACTCAAGAGAGAAAACTCAGAACAACCGAAATTTGATTGAATAGCAATTGGCCAGTCTAGTGAGTTCTTAGAAGAGATTTTCAAAAACAATATTCTAAAGTTATTTTTCTTTCAATCTGTGCCAAGCCAACATTCTTAACTTGTTCTATTGGAGAATGATAAAGTGTTTCCTAAGACTCCTAATTTTCGCCAATTGATCGACGATCACCTGCGGAAGCAGCTAGACAAAGGTAATTCACCGTACTAAGTCGAATGGTGATATTTACTTTTGAGGTTTGAAATGCTAAGATAACTCGTCTCAGAGTTTATATTAGTCTTGAAGTATCTTAAAGGAACATCGAGAGTATATATGAGAACAACGTTTCTGAAAAATCGAAAATTGTAGTTTACAGGTTATTAGAGGTTTCCCTGTATCTTCTCGATGTTCGTTTATTTCCAGATTGTCTCCCCTTCATCAAGTATAGGGAGAGATATATAGAGAGAAATAAAGCATCAAAGAATGCGAAATGAATAAACAAATACCGATGAGTCAAGGAGTGATACATGTGACTGTAACACAGGTCCCGTATGCCTTTATGAGAAATAGTTTTGAAACGTATGGTATTGAAGAGCACACAAATCGGAGTAAAATGAGGGTCATTACATTTTCTGTACTCTTATCTTAAAAAGTTATAAGTATCACAAAGCGATATTTATTATTGCATTGTTAAACAACGTATATTTTTATTTTTTATCATGCTTACAACTTTATTACGGAAAGGTCGTAGGAAATATGGCAACTCGTCATTTAACTCATGATTTTATGATCTCTAATATGATACTCTTAAAAAATAATCTTCAGAAAACCTTTTGGAACTTGAAAACTACTGTTTTTGGTTTTCCAGAAACGTTTCTCTGATAATCCATCTATGAAATTTTGAAAAGGTATGTATTTAATATAGAGCTTTATTGGCTATCCAAATCAGTAGTTAGATTTGAGTTAAATGCTTGATATAGTAAAAAAATTTATACTTATGCACTTGAATATTTATTACTTTTAAAGAAACAATCTCGTTAGCCTTACATATATAAAAGAAAAGGATTTCTTTTTTAGGATTTTGCACTAAAAAAAAGAATATGGATGTACTCATATGAGATATTTTTATGGAGTTTAGACTTGGTTCAAATCAATATGACTTACGTTGAGAGTTCAACTATTTGTTCATTATTTTCGATTTGATATATATCAACTTGTGATTTTTGATTTTCAAGTCGAATAACAATCGAATCGTATTGTTTTAGGCTATTATCTAATTTTTTAATATCAAATCGAATCATTTTACGATTACTATAAGTTGGTGGAATAGGTGTAAGAACATTGGTTATATCCGTAATGAGATCATTATTTTTTAAATAAATTCGAGTATGTGTTAAATGAATAATAATTTGATGGAATTTTGAATCTTTTAATGGAATTAAATAATCATTATGTTCTTTACCATGAATTGATCTAATCGATTCTGTGATTATAATAGGTTCTTTTTGAAAATTTAACGTTGTATTTAATCCAAGATTAATATCAACGGATGGAGAA